CACAGACACAGACACAGACACAGACACAGACACAGACACAGACACAGCCCACTAACTATAAGCGATGTACAGATAAAAGACATAGGGAGAGAAATGGAGAATTCAAACTTGGGCTTGCTCTAGGTTAAATCAGTCCAAGGAGAAGCTCTGACCTTTCTTTTCTTAATAAACACTGATGTATTTGATACCTCTGAGGCTGTCTTTAATCCATTTAATGTCTTTAACGACTGATGCAGGATCTGTAACATTGTTTGAGGCTTGTGCTTTTATGGTATCATGGGACCTGGACTGAATCTTTGCTTTGCTATTCAGTGCTGACTGAAGTGATGTTTTATGAGATCATGGAATGGCTTTGGGGCAAGTGTGGGGACTCTGAAGGATGTAATTTTTAGATATTGAGGATTCTCGGCAAAGGAGGATGTTTACCCATGGGAGGATATTCACCTATGGGAAGATGCTCAGTCAGGGAAGATGCTCATCCAGGAAGGATGCTCACCAATGACTGTTCATCTAAGGAGAGTGTTCATCCCTGGGGGAATGCTCGTTTAGGGAGAATGCTCATCCATGGAAGGATGCTCAATTATGGGAGGATGCCTACTCACTGGTGGGTTCTCCCTCATAGGAATATGCTAGCTCACTGGAGGATGAACATCTAAGTCTTTCCACTTGAGAACGCTTTAAACATAAGGCACAGATTAGAATCCAAGGAACCTGACAGTTATTTCTTCCTGAGTTTTAAGAGATTATCACCTTTTTTTTTTCTTCTAAAGTGTGAACTAGGAGTGTTTGAAATCATGGATGATAGGAAGAACCAAAGCTATGTTCATTATGTGCCCACCATGTGTCAGCTTTATACTGTGTCACTAACACCTTTCAGAAGTTTGGTAAGGAAAGAGGCATTAGTTTCATTGTCACACAAGGGATAAAAGAAGATGCCTTTTTGGGGTCCAAAGAATGCAAGCATATTCATTCACATGGGGGGGGGACCCTCTGCATCTCAACTGTCACTTTAGTATGAGGGAAACTTTGCTTCTGTTTGGTTCATGAATGTACGGCCTGATACAGAGTGGTCTCAGCACGTTCTCATACCTTGATGTGAGAGCCAGAACTTTTTACATCTTATACTGAGTACACCTTGCAGTAGCCTTTTGAAAAGACAGGGTCTTGCTGTGTGACCTAGGCTTTGTAACTCTCCTGCCTCAGTTTCCCCAGTGCGAGATCGCAGGGGTGTGGCACTCTGCCTGGCTTCACAGAGGCACTTTCTTCCCCCATCACTGCTCTGAATTTATTGTGTGCATTAGATGCACACAAAAAATTAGATGTACATTAGAACTTTTTGTTTAACTAACTTATAGAAAAGAACATGCATTACTTTATCACAAACCGACTTTTAAAAACACTGTAGTGTTTTCAATAAAATTGACTTTCTTTGTCTCCCTTTACATTTTATCTAATAAGTTCAAAAACATTATATTGGGATGGGCCTGTAGATTGCATACTGCCAAAGGTGTCAGATTACAAAGACTAGAAATTGGCAAAAATAGAAGGGTCTAAATTGGCAAAGTTCAGATTTGAATTCAGGACCGGACAACTGAGTACAACACCTGCAGAGCATCCAAGACCAAAGGGAAACAGGAGAGGATGCCATCTTAGTCTGATTAGGTCTCTGTAAGTTCAGATGATCATCAGAAAAGGCAGCAGTGGGAGGTGCTTGAAAGCATCAGTGGGGCTCCTGCTCTCTTGCTCCTGCTCCCCGTCTTTCCCCATCCCTTCCCTTCCCCTCTCTCTCAACGTGCTCATGACCAGCCTCTACTCCTCTACTCTCTCTCTCTCTGCCTTTCTCTATCTCTACTATTCTCTCAACTCCCTTCCCCATGCTCTGAATAAATTCTATTATATACTGAAAAATAAAATAAAAAATAAGAAAGAAAGGATCAGCGGGGCAGATTTAAGTGGCATACATCACAGGAGTGAATCCTCACAATGGCAAACTCATCAATGACAGTGAATGAGAGATTACTACATGAAACAATGGAGGCGTATCTCACAACTCTAATGTTGAACAGAATAAATAGGAAACAGAAGCATCTATGTGATCAGATTCTACCTAAACACCAGAACTGGTATAACGAATCCACAGTGAGAGGAATATGAATAATGGCTGTGGGTGGGGTGTGTGTTCTGATTGGAAGGAAACAAGAGGAACATTTCAAGGTGAGTGGGCAATAGTTCCTCAGTTGCGTATGTTTATGAAAACTCAAGTAAGATTGCTGCTGTGGAACACACCCGCAATCTCAGCACTCTGGAGGCTGAGACAGGAGGATTGTGAGCTGAAGTCAGCCTATACTACACTGATTTCTTATCTCAATACTGCTCCCCACAAACAAATACTTGCATTCTGTGATTTTTATGGTATGTTATGGAATACAGAAATCATTAGCTTCATCTTATTAATGGACTCATAAGGATAGAAAGCAATTAAATAAAGAGGTCTCTTTACTGACGAATTCTCTTGTCACACAGAGGAAGTTGAATGGAGAGTAGCAATATTTGACTAAATCAATGGCTTCTGTGTAGGAAACTCACTCAGATGCCTTTAAATCACAGTCTGCTTCACACAGAATAAAATCAAGCTGTTCCCTTGTCCCATGAATAGAGTGAACAGTAATGGTAGGCCCACACTGGGTCACTCTTCGACAGTCAATATAAACTACAAGCATACACCGAATGTGGTCAAATCTCACAAATACAATTTTCCACATAAGAATATAGATATAAAAGAGAACACAGTATAGGTTCCATTTATATTAAGTGTGGAATGGCAAAGCACTCTGGAGTTAGAATAGTGATTGCTTTTGGGGAGACAACGACGGAAGAGATTACGGGGTGCCTCTGGGACATTAGCCATGCTTTATTACTGATCTGCATGCTTGCTAGATTGGTTGATTGACTTTTGCCCCTAAAAAGAATGCTGTAAACTATGGAAACACCTTCAGCACAGGTGCTGAGTTGCACAGCTGTGTTCTGGGTCATGCTGCCTGCACAGTTGTGCACCTCTATAGTTTCGCCCAGAAGATGACTGTCCCAAATGAAATCCAGGGTGTTTCCTGTCATGGAGAGGGTCTTTGGGATTGCCGTCAATGGGTACCATCCACACGTGGCAGAAGAAACTCTGCCTCTACTTACTCAGGGTTCTGCACGGAGCCTCCCACACAGTGGAATCTCTCTGGGACAGTTTTCCAGTCTTTGGCCATTTTCACCATGGCGCCTGCATCAAGGACTCCATAGCCAAAGAGGTGATTAAATTCCAGGCCAACCCCATTCCGTCGCCACTGATGAACCTCATCGTGAAGCTGGTTCCGCTTGGAGGTGAGCACAGTCAGATGTTGCATGTCTCGCCAGGTCAGATCCAGGCTGGTTATGGGAGGCAGAGGGGGCAGAACAAAGACAAGAGTGAGGGAGGAAGAGACACACAACTGATGTAAGAAACACTCAAGACATGTTTCCTTAGGAGATTTTGGAACATCTATGAACTTTTAACTCAAGGAAGGTATTCATGCATCATCTAAAACTATCTAAAAACATTGTTGCTGTTCTTACTTTTAAAATGTGTTTCTAAAGAGCATTTTGCGCAAATATTGGGGTAGCTAAGATGAAAAAGATTGGTAATACCAAGTGTTGACAAAGATGTAGAGCAATGGGAACTCATAGACTTTGCTGATATGTGCAATCAACAAATCATTGAAAAACAGTAGGCTGTATCTACTAAGGTTGTCACTGTGCATGACGTAGCTTGGTAATTCCATTCTTAGATTCATATCTGGCAGAATGTGCACACATTCAGCAGCTAAGCAAATAGATTATTTATAGCTCTAAACTGTGGTTCTTGTAAATGCTCATCATAGTAGAATAAATTTTTGTGGTACAACTTGTGGAAATCGGGATACTACACCAAGATGAAAACGAATGGATTATGATTATTCCTAATAATATGTAGAAATGTCCTTTTTTGGAGACAGGGTCTCATGTAACTCTGACTGACTTCAAACTGTCTATGCAGCTGAAGGTGACCTTGAATCCTTGATTCTCCTGCTTCTACCCGCTTCTGAGTACTGGGATTGTAGGCATGTGCTACCCCATCCGGTTTGTGTGTTGCTGGTGATTGAACTCAGGCGCTTTCATATGCTTGGTAAGTACTATGCCGATGGAACTGCCTCCCCAGCCTGCTATGGACAAATCTTACCAAAACAATACTGAAGCCAGGGAGAGAGGAGAACGCTGTGGTCGAGATAGGATCGAGTACATCCCTAAGGAATTGTGTGTTGGAAGCTTCGTCCTCAGTGGGTCATTGATGGAAGAGGGTGGAAGCTTTAAGAGATTTTGTAAAGGTAGAGGGGAGTGGGTCATTGTGGACACTGCCCTCTGGAAGCATTAATAGAATTCTTATGGTGCCCTGGCTAGAGAAGGGGTTGCAAAGGAACAGATACAGCTCTTCCCCATTCTCTGGCTTCCTGTTTAATCACATGATTACTTCCTCTATCATGTGCTTCTGCCGTGACCATCATCTAGCAAAGTGGCTTTTACAAGAGACTAAACTGAGGGGGCACTTGGTCTTGGTCTTTCAGTTCCAGATCTGTGAACTAACAAACCATTTTTTAAATTAAGTATCCAGCATCAGGTATTTTATTATAGCAAGGGAAAATAAACTTGTGTAGGGGACATACTGTATGATTTCATTTGTTGAAGGCATAAAAACAGAAACAACTCATTTATGGTGTTAGGAATTAATTAAGGTTAGTTTGGGGTGTCATGACTGAAGGGAAATGTGGGGTACACTTCTTAGTGCTTGCAGGGTATGAGTTCTTAATCCCGGTGCACTAAGGAGGCTATCAGTTTAAGGCAAGGACAATACCTTCAATATATTTCTATGCCCAAGGCACAGGACAGCCTCTTGCTAATGTTCTCTATGGTCTTTGGAAACAAGTGTCCATTATTGCTCAGTGCCAGTTTTTAAAAGTGCAAGTTGTGACTTGTTTGTGAACTAGGAAATCAATTTACTGTACAGGTAATCTACCTGGGCTGCAGGATCTCTCTGGGGGGGGGGCATTTGAAGTCCGTCCACTCAGTCCTCATCACAGATGAATGAAATCATAGCCTCCGGGAGTGAGAGGCAGCTGCTGGGGATTGTTAACATTCCCACTGTATTCTAATAGACAAGACTGAGATCCAGGCAATCCTAGCACTTGAGGGGCAGCGGAAGGATGACTGACATTTGAGAGTTGCTTGGGATACATCAAGAGAATGTCTCAAAACTTAACACTAATTAATTAATAAACTAGTTTAGATTAGAAGAGAAAGACAGTGCATGGATTTAAAATGATATTAGTATTTCCAGGAAACATTTGGGGTCAGAGTGTTGGGTTGTAATGTAGAATTAATTTTTTGCTGAGGGTCATAGAGAGAAAAAGGCAACCCTGTGGACTACTGCTGTCTTCAGAAGCCAGCCAATCAAAAGGACAGTGATTCTTTTAAGAGGCCAAGCAATTGAAAGGACAGGAATAATATAATTTATTTGGCAAAATTCCAACACATTCATAGTGCATTGGTCTGAAACCGAACCTGAGCCAAAGAGCTCCGGAAAGCCACATGTTCCCCAAACACTGACTGGTACCTTCAAGGGGGAAAGTTCAAGGCAGGTCAGTGCTTTTGGGAAGACTGAGAGCACATCTGCCCATCCAGAAGCTGACTGTGGCTAACTGCTCTACGTTTTTCTAGAATGGGATTCGGAGCTTACAAATACTAGAAGTGCTGATAAATGAGAACCTGAGGGACTCAGGGGCTGGTCAGCAGCTGGAGGAGTTTTCACATCCACCATGCAAAGTTGTGTCCCCAGTGTCTGGGGAGGTTCACCTCACCTGTTCTGCTGAAGTTTTTCTCATGGGTAAGTTGGTCGGGGGGGGGTATGAAACAGCACAGAGAACCTCTCACTTTTGAGATAAATGAGAGCAGTGAAGACTCATTTCACTCTGTGTGTGTCATTGTCTGGGCTAACTGTACCTTACATCCGTAAGTAAAATTGAGTTCCTCATTACTGCCCCTTTGAAAAGTTTCAGGATTGGTAGAATATACTGTTCTACCAAATAGATATTTCAAGAACTTGTCCTAAGCTTTAACTCTGAAATATCACCTCAAGAATCACAGGCAACAGCTCTCAAATAGTGGCAGAATAAAATCATAAAATATCCGCAGTATTAAAGGCTGTTGTGTTGGAGGCTACTGAATAATTAACATGACCTGTTCTTCACTGTTCTGTGTGACAGTTTGGATAAAAGCTCACATGTATGTGAAAAGGTACAGCACATGATAATTTCCATGCCTGTCTACTGAGTATCTGTCACATCCAGGCACCAGGCTAATAATAGCTTTGTCATAGGGAATTGCCTGTCTTCATAGAGTCTATCGCTTAGGGGACAGGTGGGCAATCCAACACTGAAGCAGTGAGAGTTGTCATGATTCAGGAGCTCAGGCTGCTGTAAGAGCCACAGTGTAGGCCATGAGCTGTCCAAGACAGACAGCTTCATTGTGGTTCTCAAGCCTCCTAAATCAGGTCCACCTGGGCACTAGTGTCCGATATAAGTTCCCAGATCTTTTGCATCAGCATTCAGGAAGCTATGAGTTTGAGAGTTAGGAGTAAGATGACCTTTCAGATATTTCCTCAATACACCAATAGTAGAGAGCATGGGATTCAGATGGTGTTCTTGATCTGGTAGCATCTTTTAATCATCAGGGGATGGTTAAAAACATGTCAGAGAAGATAGGTCGGAATTCCATGAGATTGCTATGATTCTAGGGATTGTCTTTTTCAGGTCCAGGAGTCAGGCTGAGAAAAACTCCAGCTTTAGACTCAAGCACGCAGGGAGTTAACCACATTTGTGAGTTTGGATAAATTACTTCAACATCTGAGTCCTAGATTCATATCTTTGCTGAGTGGAAGTTGTCTTGAAGGTTTGTTGAGGAGTAAATGTGGATCATGTATGCAATGCAGGTCATGTGTGTAAATTATCTCATGCAGTGTCAACACTCAAGAAGACTTGTTATCACTCACTGAAGCAAGGTAGGAAAAAAAACAGTTAAAGTATTGACAATGATATTTAGGAAGTCATTGAACCTAGTGGATAGGCTGATTTTGCAATAAGATAGCAGAAGTCAGGACAGGATATTGTCCACATGGATACTGGACAATCTGAGTAGTTGTTTTTTTTCCTTTTCTTTATTCCTCTTTGCAACAGATGGAGACCACTACAGAAAAAACACAACCAGTCAAAAGGCAGAACTGTGGAGCCCAGTCCCAGTGGATACATCTACAAAACCTTCCTGCCTGCAAGGCTCTGGGAACATTGCAGAAGAGTGGATGGAAAGACTGTAAGAGACAGAGGATCAGGGCTTTTACTTTGAGGGTGTGTCTCCTAGTGATGTCAGAAGCTACACCAAATAGGAGCTGAACAATGACAAGGAAAAAGTCCATGAGGCCTGAACTCTATACAGAGAATTATAGGCAACTGAGGGAAGTGGAGAACAGGAGAGATGCCAGAGAAGAAAATACTACTTGGTTGTCCAATACCAAATGGTCAGCTCTGAAATCATACAAGTAACATTATATGGGCAGATTATATTTAGAATACATGTGTGCATGATTTTTATATCTATATATCCATTATCTGTCTATTATCTATCATCTATTTCTATCTATCTATCTATCTATCTATCTATCTATCTATCTATCATCTATCTATCTATCTATCTATCTATCTATCTATCTATCTATCTACCTATCTAATATGCAATAATAATGAAAAAAGAGGCCATAGATTTGGGAGAGGGTTTGGAAGGAGGAAAGGGAAGGGAGAGATGGTACAATTATAACCTAAAATTTTTAAAAAATTAAGAAAATAAAAAAAGAAGCTCAGTTTTATTCAGAACAACAACATACTTAGTAACACTGTGCTTATCAGCTTCCTTTGAAGCATGAGGTGCTCTCATGAACATCTCTAACAAATGAGAAATGAACAGACGCTCCGGATGGGGTTTCTTGGAAAGCTCATGCACTGAGCATGAGGGCAGAAAGAATGCCGATTGGTACCGGACTGAGACTCTGTTTAGCATTCCAGTGAGCTCCTCTCCTCCCTCCAACTTACTGTGGTTGTCCATTGTGAGTTTAAGGTCTGGGGAGGGACATTTTGCTTGCCCAAATCCCAAGGAACTGTGCTAGTCCTTGTCTAGTGAAGTTGAAAGGCTGCAGGGAGACACTTATTTGGGCTCACAGCCGTCTGAGCAAAGCCAGCTTAGATCCCAGGATCTGCTGAGATCCTTTTATGATTGATCTCAGCTTCTGATAATGCTTGTCATGTGTTAGGAAGGTTTGGCTTTTGAACTTAGAAGGGTAGAGATATCTGTCCTTCATAGTTAAGTCCTGAACAGTGTTCTGATCGTGCTCTCCTAAAACTTACACCTGACTTTTTTCTGGGGAAAAAACAAAAACAAAAACAATGTTTAGACAGAGAAGGAGCAGTGAATGTCTGCCTCTTTTCTCTGTTTTTTTTTTTTGCTTGTTTATCTGTTTGTTTGCTTATTTTTGTTTTTTTTCAGACAGGTTCTCTCTATGTAGCGGTAGGATGGCCTCAAATTCCATATTACCCTACTGCAGCCTCTCGAGAGCTAGGACTTTCGGCCTGTACCACTGTATCTCTTCAACTCTTGTTTCTTTTGCAGATCAGAGAGCATATTGAATATGTGGAGAGAGACAAGCAAGCCTGCCTGGATACTGATGCTAGAAACTGTGGTTGCCTAGCAACTTCTGACAAGGATGGGGACTTCACTCCCCTACCTGAGAAGCCTGAATCCAACTTCTCACAAGTTGCTGGATGATCCATTCTCTGAACTCCCCATATAATCTGAGTGTATAGTAGTATAATTTCTGGAGGGCAAGGCATACTCCTTGAATGTAAGTCCAGCCTCTGATTTCTCAGAGAAGGTAAGCAGGACCCCTACAGGCATTGCCACTGATGCTTAAGTCTGAGCTACATCCAGGCAGAGCCGCACATGGCCTCTCCATGGGAAATTAGAACATATGAAACGATTTCTTATCTGCCACCTAGAGGGCTTCTTAGTAAAGTCTGTTTCCTGGACGATTCTGCACAGCTTCACCTGCTTTGTCTTTGTGCAAAGAAGTGGATTCATTGTATAGGAACAGCCTTGGTATATTCGTTGTATAAAAACAGTTCCTCCGTTTAGCTGACTGAGAGCAGGCATAAAATAGCTGCGTAACTCACAGAATATAAAGGAGGGTTTCACCAAGGAAGAAATGTGTTGTCCTATATTTTGGCGTGTAAATATGTTTTGTACTGTGGGTGTTGGAGCCTTCTGCTCTTTCAGGCATATCGTTTTATGATGTATGCATATGTCTGGGTGTCATTTAAGGATCATGAGCCTTTTAAAAATGTCTAGCTGAATTCGCTAGCCTGGACTTTCTAGGCTGTCACATACACACCGATCTCTGTGGACACCTGGCATGTGGGTAGAGAGGCACACACTAGTCTGCCCTTCAGAGCTGGCGTTCAGCTCCAAGGTGAAACATACTTAGCCTCCAAAGCCAATGCAAACACGCCAGCCGCCTCCGGAGCAGCTGCGGATGTCCCAGAATGTCTCAGGGTACAGTTGCCATACAAGTCTGTGGTAGCCTGGAAGAGAAGATATTGAATAATGAATGAATGAACAAATCACACTGTTTGATCTCCAGATAAGGTAGGATCACAGTAGAATCCTGATCACCATGAGTCTATCATGAGATAGCATGACTTGTATGAACAGGTTTCTCTTCCAGAAGGAAGAGTCGTATCCCCAAAGTAGACCAAATATCTGAAGTCTACCTAGGAAGGGAAGGTTATTCAAGACAAATATTCCTCTCTATTTAAAATTTACAAAGAGACTCTGAGTCATGCCAAGAAACCCTAGTGTGTGCCGGTTTACCTCCAAGCTATATGCAGGGGAAGATGTGGATATCTGAATGTTAAAAGACTTTTAAATGAGAACAATTCCATCTTTAACATTTGTGAGAGCTAGAGTTATCATTGAGATCATATATAAACCACAGAAATTCTCCCTCTGTAGCATCCATTCTTAACCTGTGGCTTGTGGCACCCTTGGAGGTCGCATATCAGATATCCTACATATCACAGATTTACATTATGATTCATAACACTAGCAACATTACAGTTATGAAGTAGCAGCAAAAATAATTTTATGGTTGGTGGGTCACTACAGTACGAGAAACTGTATTAAAGGATTGCAGCATTAGAAAGGTGGAAAATCACTGATCTAGAGAGCTTTTATTTATTTATTTATTTATTTATTTATTTATTTAAATTTAATTTTTCTGAGGCAGGGTTTCTCTGTGTAGCATTGGCTGTCCTGGAATTCACTCTGTAGACTAGGCTAGCCTCAAACTCAGTGATCCATCTGCCTCCCGAGTGCTAGAATTAAAGGTGTGTATCACCACCACCCAGCTAAGAGCTTATTATTTTGAGGAATAAAAGATTAGGAAGGTTTAATGGTATCTATTAGGAAGATTACAATATTTTAAAAAGAGTCCTTTCCCAGGCAAGTACAACAGGGTCCGAGATAAGGGCTGAAGACACTTGGGGCCTTTGGGTAAGGGCCAGACATCCAGAAGCTAGAGCGGGGTACCACAAACAAAACAGGGTGGGGGCTGGGGTGCCCTCCACTGTTCCTTTCTGTTTGGCTCCGGATGAGTCAGAGGCACTGAGTTCCATGCTGCTTGGAAGGAGCTGGCATTAATCCTCTTCATTAACCTTAGGAGGACCACAGAGGGATTAGTAGTTGTTGAGGGGTACGCCTCTTGTAGGCAGAAGGTTTCTTTCTTTTCAATCGTCTATGAGGCTGACTAGCCAAGGCTGAGAGACCAGAGGAGAGTGTGGTGTTGAAACCCTAATGGTAACAATGACTGTGTTCCAAGCTCCCGTCCTCTTCTGTAGAGGACTCTCAATGGTAGTGGGAAGCCAGCCAAAGTGTAGCTTGTCTGTCACTTTTAATTATATGTCAAATGTCTGGCATAGAAGACTTAGGCAAGACTGAAATGTGAGCAAGATAGCAAGAGAGGGAGAGATCCTTAAAGTGTTATCGTGCTCTGCAGCCAGGGGTAGGGGGATTTACTATTACACTGGTTGCTCTGGAGGAAGATGGTAGATGGTTTCATCTGGGATGATGATGATGATGAAAGAGAGAGAGAGAGAGAGGGAGAGGGAGAGGGAGAGGGAGAGGGGGAGAGGGAGAGAGAGAGAGAGAGAGAGAGAGAGACAGAGAGACAGAGAGACAGAGAGAGAGACAGAGACAGAGAATAAGAATGAATGAGTATAGCCTGTGACTTTTAATTTGTGTTTTAAAATCTTGGATCCATTTTATAATATGTTAAAATCACACTTTCTCCCCCTGAGAAAATACACAACTGTGCTGCTGTTCACCTTTAGGGGCTAGATAAGTCTCCCATGGATACCATTATTATTATTATTTTTTCTATGCTGAGGATCCAACTCAGGCTCGAGTATTTGTTAAGGCAAGAGTTCTACCCTTTGTAGCCTCATTTCTAGCTTGGTGGTGTTTCTTCTTACTGGGGTGTTTTTCTGGGACTTGTGACATGATGCCTCAGTCCTTATAATTATTGTTATTCTCATAAGTGACATGCCACTTACTGATAAACCAGAGCTCATCATCACTTGTACGCCAAAACAAGGATATCTATGGGAAATTGACTGGAAAAGGCTCATCACATGATCTTGCTTCTCACCTGCAGACGGTAGGTCTCCACCTTGGTAAAGCACAATTGGACATGGAGAAAGCGGATGTTCTCCTGAGAAGCCGTGATAATTTAGGAAGAGAAGGGGATGGAGTTGGGAGAGAAGGGGCTCCTGGCTACAAGGAAACTGGTCAGGAAGGAGCTTGAACTCACCACACCGGCCTCAGGGTTCCTCTTCCTCCCATTGCTGAAGGTGGATGCCAAGGTGGAAGAGCAGCTCTCATCATACAAGGCGGTCCTGCCATCGTTGATGGCTGAGTTGATGGAGATGGTCCACATGCTTGAAGCGTAGCCGTCACAATTGCAGTCATCGTAGCTGCCACCGTCCCCGGAGGCCCACACATAGATGCTCCCTTTGCCCCCACGGCCCTGGAGGAGGAAGGAAGATATGGTGCTAAGTCCAGCATTGAGGAGGCAGCTGCTGCAGGCTTGGGGTTCAGGGAGATTTCCTGACCAGGTAAGATCCTGGCTTAGGCAGGGTCAAGATTTGAGCTAATGCTGCTCAAATAACCGACTTCATTTTACCTGGCTGGATATCATTCTTCTGATGGCAGCTAGCGGGAATGATAGTATTGCTCAGAATGATATAAAGTCACCAGAATTTATAATTTTTAGCTGAGAATAGGAGGTTAACAAAAGCTGGAAGCAGAACCTTAAAATTTACTGATAAAATTATTTTTAAAAAAGTCCTAAAATTCATCAAAGAATTCATTTAAAAACCTGTAAAGGTAGTACATGCTCATAATAAAAAGTATCAAAGTGTATGGAAAAGAAAAGTTAACCCTCCAGAGGCAACCACTGTGATCTTAATCTTACATGTAAGTGTTCAGTGAAAATTTAAGTGTATTTGTAGTGATACTTATGTAAGTATGCTTATATTTAACTACATAAGATGTATATGTAGATATAAGTACAGAGGTAACCAAAATAATATAAAAATCCTATGTATGTGTACATAGCTTTTTTTTTAAACCCAGTTGGACTTTAACAGAATCCTACTGGAAACGCTTCCTGCCCTTTGACCTGTGCAAGGGACCAGCTCTAGGAATAAAGCCTAATGTGCGGAGATAACAAATAGCCAGTGATGTCTGAACTCAAGAGGACAGCACAGTAGGTACTCCTGTTTGGCCATTAACTCAGCCATTAGTTACAGAGGACAAGCTGTGTTATGAATGACTGGAGTAAGTGTTGTCCCTGCTTGCTCTCTTCTCTGGGTGTTTTCATCTTTCCTGCCCTCAGTGAGTGGTCTCTCCTAGGCCTCAACCAGGACTGGGCCATTTGTGTCTTACGTTTTCCTCTGCTATCCTTGAGGGAGTGGAGCTAGAGGTGAGTGGGGAGGGTGGGGAGGTGGGGAGTGAGGGGCAGGTGCACCAGCTTCCCTTCCTCCACAACTTGGGGCAGGATAGCTGGATGACCCTCTAAAGGGGGGGGGTGGAAGGGAGAGAGAGAAAGGAAGGGGAAGGAAAGATAGAATGAGAGTCTGGGGAGGCAGAGAGACAGAGCGAGCCTGCCTTTGTGAGATGGCCAGGGGTCTGTGGTTCCGATTCAGTGATTTAAGGTGAGATGTCATTAGAAAACGAGGGACTGGATCACCTCCAAGGTTTGTCTGCTCTTGACAAGGAGAAATGACAGTCTGAATTAACAGGACTGGGAATTAATTTACCCGTGACCGAGTGTGTCAATAAGTCCACAAGTAACTGTTTGACTACAAACTGGGAATTGTCTTTAGATTCTTGGTAAATCTACACAACTGAAAGACTCCATCAAGAGAAATGACTGCTCTCAGAAACCACAGCAGAGAAGAAACAGATGGTTTCTGCACGAGGTGTGAAGGCACATACACCTAGGTTCAGATTAGGGCAAAATACTTGGGTAACCCTCCCTTACCAGTTCCTGAGCAGGCTGCCAGCCAGCTAAGCAACCTTGACACAAAGAAACTCTTCGGTGTAGAGGATGTTACTGTGGCCTCTACTTGCATAATTCCAGGTATCAATGTCATTTGTAATATGATGTTGCAGTTTTGCCCAAGAAGAGAAGGAGGCCTATTTTCTACCAGTCAGGTCCTGACTGGCTTCACGTTGTGATCTGCCCATCAGAATGTGAGAGACATTGAGTGGGCAAAGATTATAAACCCAAGACTTAGGAAACCTTGTACATCTCTGCCATGTCTCAGAGCTTGGTTACACCATGGCAATCAATCTGACTTAGCTAATATTGAACAGCTCCCAGACTCCTGTGGGATCTTCCTTAGGTCAGTCAGTCTCTAGCTTACCTTCCAATTGATCACAGATGCAGGGGTGAGGCTGTGGGAGGACACTGGGCTGCAACCAAATGGAAGCAAAGGTTTGTAGCCCACCCTGGCTTTGTGACCTCGGACCCACAGAACTCCTCCGGCTCCAGGCTCCCAAGTTCTACATCTGGTTTCCACTTTGACATCTTAGTGCATTAATGTGCTTTAAAAAGTTATTTAACTTTCTATTGTGAACATTACATGCAATATAGAATAATTGAAATATACAGACTATGGAGAGGAAAATAGGAACTCTTTATAACCTGCGAATAAATGTTTCTTAGTGTGATTTTTGTGGGTTCCTGACAGTTTTATAGAGCGAGGCAAAGTATTAGAATAGCTTTAGAAATGAACCTGGGATAATGAAACAGATTCATTTTATTTGTCTTGCTTAAAAATGTGATTATAAGCCGGGCGGTGGTGGCGCACGCCTTTAATCCCAGCACTTGGGAGGCAGAGGCAGGTGGATTTCTGAGTTCGAGGCCAGCCTGGTCTACAGAGTGAGTTCCAGGACAGCCAGGGCTCCACAGAGAAACCCTGTCTCGAAAAACCAAAAAAAGAAAAAAAAATGTGATTATAATTAACATCTACTCATGTGATTAATGCTATTCTATATCATGTTTTATTAGCCTTATTAAATAGACATTTCACATTTTATTCTCCCTTTAAATATATGTAGAGAATTATTTCTAGTTTAAAAACTGCCTAATGTTTAAAATAAATATAATTCTATCTATCTATCTATCTATCTATCTATCTATCTATCTATCTATCATCTATCTATCCTGTTTTAGCTCTGCTTTCTTTGGCAGAGTTACTAAAAGAACAAATTTTCGATGAAAAGAAATGTATGTTAGAAGATTCTTCATCCACATAATGTATTTTTGTCCTGTATAATGAATGACTGAAGTATTAGCACCTATAAATCATAATTGCCAATATAAATTATTTTTTTTTTGTGGAGCTGGGGATTGAATCCAGAGTCTTGCACATGCCAGGTAGATCTTTACTTTCTGTTACAGGAGCTCATCTAGACCAGGCAGGCTTTGAACTTCTTATGTAGCTGAAAATGACTGTGAACACCTTGATCCTACAGCCTCTGCTTTCCTGTATTTCTTTTTTGTCCTAGAAACGCAGGGAAGACTTGCAACGGTATGTGAACCATTTCAGAGGCTGAGTTGCAGGCTTCATGCCAAGCAGCTGTCGCCCAAATGTGAGGCTTCACTGGGCTTCAGAGGATAAATCAGGACTGGTGTCTCTGAGTGCTCTGTGGCAGGAGGCATCCATCGCCTGCTGAGGCCTTGCCACTGGTGCCACTGAATCTGACCCACACTCTGATTAAATTTCAACAAGCAGCATCAGGGCTTTGTCTGGCCTGCACCTGATTAATCACTTTCTCCCAGCCAGCCCAGGACCCCTCCCTCCCGGATGGTGGCATCTGAGCTACTCTCTTGCACGGGGCTCGTCTTCATATATTCTAGTCCAGAAACCCGATGCTTGCGCTATGCCCTGTCCCCACTCAGTCTCATCAGCACCACAGAGAATTCCTACAGCTTGTCTTTGACTATTCCTAAACTAATTATTTACTCTCTCTAGTAGCAGTCCTTAGAAGTGATTAGTGATTAGGGGCTGAGATATAGTCATCAGAGCCAGCCAGAGTGTTCCAGGCTATCCTGGATGGCTGTATTTCCTTTATGAGGGGAAAGAGCTTCATGAGTCCTGTCACCGTCAAGGTTCTCTCGTGTTGTTTGAATTCTTCTGGTTGTCAGAGGAACGGAAAATGCTGGAAGATGTGCTCTCTGATGGCTTGTCTGTTGTTTCACCCATTCCCCTGCAAGGACTGCATCCTTCCTTCCATCCACAAGGTGAAGTGTTTCAGAGGCTGAGTTTTGTCTGGAGGTCTCTGATTAGATTTTGCTTTAGTTGAGCTCCAGTGACTGTAACAGATGACAGATGGCATCCCAGATCCCCTGGACCCCAGAACCTCTTGTGCATGGGTATTTCCAAATGCATGGCCATCTCTTTGTCTTAGGCTTCTTCCTGAGAGGTTAAAGGCTTCTCCGTGAATCTGCCCTTTGGCTTTAACTGGTAGGGCACAGCTACCCCTTAGGGGAATAAATCTCAATGTTTTTTTTCTTAGCTCCTTTGCTAAGATAGAGATAACTTTACTGTGTGTTCTATGTGGATTTCTAATATTCCATGGTTTTAATTGCTCAGGTAAGTGGCTGGATTGAGTACATGGCCTGAATGGACTCTTTTTGGTTCTCATTACACCTCCCTACTCGCTTCTGGTACTCACTTTGCCTCCCAAATAACATCAACTTGAATCCTGAATGTAGAGATAATCTCTTGTGCACTGTGAAAGATTCACCTGCGAATAAGAAGCTGATTGGCCAATGAGCTGAGGGAGGATTCGAAGGTGGGCCACCAGGGAGAGGGAGGGAGGGAAAGAGAAAGAGAGAGAGAGAGAGAGAGAGAGAGAGAGAGAGAGAGAGAGAGAGAGAGAGAGAGAGGATTCTGGGATAGAGATAGAGGGAGGAGGAGGTTTGGCTCCACAAACAGAGGAAGAGGTTGCATGTAACTGAGGACCAGCTAACCAGTCACGTGGTAGAACATAGAGGAGAACTACAAGATTTAGGTTATAAGCTAGTTAGAAAATGATCCCAGACTTTCAGCCTAGGCATTTATTCATATATAAGAAGCCTCAAAGTTGTTATTTCAATGAAGTTGGTGTGGGAGGTTACACCTGAACTTGGGTTGAACTCAAGTTCAACTCAGATCTTAAACTCAAACCTTGTTTCAGGGTTTGTTAGTTAGGAGATCCCAAACGAATGCCGTGTCCCTGTTAGGTTTCTATTGCTGTGATAAAACACCAAGGGCAACTGTAAACCGTTTCAGTTTACAGTTTGCAGTCCATCCTCCAGAGACATCAGGGCAGGAACCTGGCGGCCATGGGGGATGCTGCTTTACTGGCTTGCTTTCCACGGCCTTCTCAGCCTGATTTGTCTAGTACCCACAGTGAGCTGGAGCCTCTCAAATCTAATTAAGAAAATGCACCATAGGCCTGCTTACAGGCCTTTCTGGTTGGGGCATTTTCTTGATTGTGGTTCCATCTTTCCAAATGTCTCTAGCTCATGTCAAGGTGACATGAAGCTAGCCAGCACAGGTAGAGATTAATCATTCGGGATCTCGGTTACCAACTTCCCAGCTATAGTGTGAAAAATGCCTTAACTATAAACCTAATACGTATGTTACCAAGTTAAAAAAGCAATAAACCAAGGGGAAAGAGTTCGTTCCTTTTCTTTGATTCTGGGGACCAAACCCAGAGTCTTGTGATTGGCAGGAAAGCACTTGACCATGGAGACACATCGTCTGCTAGTCTCTCTCCTCCCATCTTGCCTATTCTTTGATGCCTCTTCAAGCATCTACTGAAAAAGATTAGGAGTAGCCAAACTGACATTTCTAAAGATCCAGATAAATGAGGTTTGGGTGTGAAGCAGATGGTCGGCACTTAGGAATGTAAAGACTATGCCAAACAACCGTGGGCATTGTTAAGAGTAGAGACTCTTACCCACTTCTTCGTTTTCCTCCTCATTTTTATGACTATTATATTCACTAAGCAAAAGCCATATGCAGGGTGTTAATATTCAAAGACAAATGTAAGAGCTGCCTCTCTGTGATACTAACAGACTCTTGTGTGAGGATGGATATCATCTTCCCTAGGTGGGTTTTTCTTTAGAGTAAGTCAAATAACTGATGAAGAGGAGTCCTCTGATTTTGTATACTATGCTGTCACCTTCAAAGCACCCCAAAACTGTCTAAAAAGTGTTATCTTGAAACAAAGCCCAGGAAAAAGTCAAGTGAGAAAACTTATTTCCCACTGCACTATGCACTCTCCTCTTCAAAACATTTGCATGCTGTTGTCTGCAGGTAAGCCATGAAGATTCTTTTCTTACTTTCCAGCAATCTTGGCATGTTATGCAGAACCATCACACTTGAAAAGGCTTTTCAATTGCAGCCAGGGAGGTTACAGGTGGAGCAAAGAGAAGGACCCAGCTCTGAGATGCGACATTCAGAGGCATGGTAAATGACAAGAGCCACCAGGGGATGCCCTATTTCAAGGAGATCTGCATTGCAAATGTGGACAGAGGGCATTTGTTACAGGCTTGCCTGACTCTTCCAGCTTCCGGTGCCCAAACACACCACATCCACTGTTGTCTGGTCCTGGGTTGGATGTATGCTTTTTGTCAATCATGAGGTGAATCACGTGTTAAGAAAGCAAGCAGCTGACGTGTCAGAATGTGCCTTGACTACTTGAAACAGGGCAGCAACACCACCTCCGGCCACCAGGTCCCATTGGTAGGCCTTTGTCCTGTGTCAGGGCCCTCCATATGGTTTCACATTGGCTCAATTGCAATGGCAGATTGCCACAACCTTGTACCAGGACATCATTTTGTTAGTTTCCCAACAGGCCCTACCCAAGTGTAGGAACTGATGGATAGCAGATGACAGGCAGCTGTGCACTTCCAGGACTCTGTGTTTCTTGAACCTTGTATTGAACATAAGGGAGACAACTCTTAAAGAGAGGTCACGGCTTACTTAGCAAAGCTGTTCTGCATGGACAGGATAAGTGGTGACTCAGGTTGAAAAACGTAGCATTTTGCAGAAAAACACAATTCAGGGTCTCAAGTGCTTTTATTCCACTTTTTCCCCTCTCAAAGGAAACCTTAAGCCTTACTAGGCCAAGACTGTCTTCTACATACAGGAAGAGTATGGAGTATGCAGCTTCTGTGACTGAAGGAAAACCAGGGCTATGTTGGTGAACAAGGTCTCTCTCTGAAGGGGACATAGGAACTCTGTTTGCCAGCTTCCATGTCTGATTTCAAGCTATCAATCAGTGTGGTGTCACCAGGCACACAGGAACATTTCTGTCATTAAGATGGAATTACAACAATCTCCTATCTACTTTGGCAAATCTATTGGTGCCATTCTTGTTCAGCTCCTGTTTAGGCAGCCATATTGGTAAGACTTTATGGGTATAGCTTCTGAAGTTGCTAGGAGACACAATCTCACCACAAACTCTCCAGTCCTCTGGCTCTTAGGATCTCTTTGCCCAATCTTTCATAATGATCCCTGAACCTTACATGTGGCAGTATTTCGTAGATGTATCCCTTTAATAGCTCTGGATTTTGATTGGATGTGGTTTTTGGTGGAGTTTTGAATGCTCGCCCTTTAATTATGATAAAGAATAAAGGAAAGCAGTCTTTTGTGTTTGCAAAAGAGGAAGAAAAAAACCTGTCATTAGACCAGCGATCAGTCTTGGCTATAAAAGAGAGAGCAGGGGACATCAAGGTGAACTGGAAAAGTGGAACAGGTCTTTCCACGTTGTTACAGAGTCTGGCCAAATGCCATTTCTGGTTGTTACAAAATTGGAAGGGTACATTAATTTTCTAGGAGTACCATAACAAAGTACCACAAACTGGGTGCTTTGAACAACAGATATTGACTAGCTGCCATAGATTCTAGATTTTGGAGACTGAAGCGTCAACTGAATTGCTTCCTTTCCACAGCTTGGAGGAGGGCTTTTCCACGCCTTCTCCAGTGTCTGGTGATTCCCTGGCATCTTGGTGTTTGTTTTCTTGCATATGGATCCTGTCTTCAAGTTTGTGCAACATTCTCCCTTTGAGCATATCTGTGGGTAAACACTTCTATTTAGTAACTGTGGATTTTTATTCTTATCTTACTGGCTTAGGGGCTTGACTCACTTGACCATGCCCTCATGGCCACTAGTTATATCTGCAATGACCTGAATTTCAAAGTAGGTTATATTCTGAGACAACTAGTGTTGAGAGCTCAAGAAGAGGGACTGGGCACACTATTAAACCCTGTAACAGAGAGGAGTATATGGTCTTATATTTATGTTCAGGTCTTTGATGGAATTCAACAGTACATGAGAGACTTCTCTGTTACAGAGTGGTGACTACTTAATATTCACCATTATAAGTTGTTATCCCTCAGAAGAGCAAAAGAAGGTGTTAGACTGGTCACTGTCCTTGATCCCTTCATATTCTGAGTCTTTCACATGGAGCCATATTATTTTTGAAGCCTAGGCATGGGGAGGACATGTCTGCTAATTTACGCCCAACATTTCCCTAGAAGCAGTGGGGACAAATAGCACAGAGGCTGCCAGGTTGTGATGAGCAAGGATGGGAAGGGGACCTTTGCACTACCTGAATACATGGCCTGAGAAAGAGAAGAGAGGACAGAAGAGAGAGAGAGAGAGAGAGAGAGAGAGAGAGAGAGAGAGAGAGAGAGAGAGAGAG